ACAAGGTGACTATCACATATGACAATGAGACGCACACTATTTTAAATAATTTTTAGTTATGTACTTCTACTAGAGTACAACGGATTCATGTACCATCCGAAAAGGTACCATTCGGGAAGTAAAAACCCGTCCAAAAAATTAAACATAGAGAAGTAAATTCTAAATTGTCAAATAATTCCGGGTGACCCACGAGAATTAACTTCTAAGATCATGCGTCCATTTTGTACATTAATGGATCACAATAATTTATTGATCATAGGATCATACGATCCTTCAGGGATCAACTTAGACTCTATGAATCTTTTCGATCAAATATTCATAACCGATGGTTTAGACTAAAAGGTGTCAAATAAAAATTAGTGCTCTAAGTGTTTACCTTCTGGGCAAAACAATATTGAAAATATGCACTTTTATTGTGTTCAAATACTCACATTTGAGATATTCAAGATTCAAGACTCATGCCATATAATTTTATGATAAAAATTAGCACCATCAATATGCATGAATTTGGACAAATAAATCATTTGACTTCCAAAACAGAATTAAGTCAATTTGATATTAGTCATATAAATTGTCGTAGTGCTATTATCATATAACTAGTGCTATGAATTCGCCTTCTGGGCAATGCTATGTGTAAAATTCATGTTGTAACCACTTGTTGATCATGACAATCCTACAAGGACTATCGTATAATAAGTATATAAATCAATGACTTTAATTTTCATCTGGGCAAAACACCCATTAAGATTTATAATAAATCTTAACATATATGGCCTATAGCAAATAATTGTTATGTCACATTTTCTTCTATGATATACACATAGCCATATTGCATAAGAGAGCAAATTGTGGCACAACAATAATTGTCATGTAAGAATCAGTAGTGTCACAACATTATATATTTCAATTAAGCTCTCAAAAAAAATTAGGCATCAACATGATAGACATGCATATGACATATTATTATCTTAAATAATAAGCATAGTCAAAATTATCTAAAAAGACAATCACTCATCTAAGTTCAAGTAATCTATGCCATTTACCACATTTCAGTTTATAATTTGACATGGTATAACAACATTATGTAATATGATTGTATTGCCTAATAATAATAATTTATTGACATAATTCAAGGCAATAATATGAAGTGCATAATCAATCAAGTAGGCATAGATGATGTAGCAGTTTTAATCAAGTAGGATCAAAGACAAAGTGATGAGTATATTTTATACCTTAATTTAAATAAGTTTTATTGGTTAATTTTATTATTTATATTTTATATTTCATTATTATTAGTATATTTTGTTATATTAGGATTAAATAACTTAGTTAATAAATTTAAAGTGTAATTAAGTTTATTAGTTATTAAATTGAATTATAAGGTGAGTGGGTTCCATTTTGCTTTATCCCTAATTACACTTTAGTTTACTTCATATGTTTGCTGCGCTGTACGTTCATATATTATATTTATGCTTTTGTTTTGTTTCGGCAGGTTGCGGACGCGAGACGAAAAGCTAAGGCGCTAGAGAGATTTCAACGGATTCATTCGCGGAAGATTTCTGGAGGAAATTAAACAAAACTTTTTGAGGATGAAATTGAAGAGAAAGATGCGGTAAGAACCTGAATTCTAGGGAAGCTTGTTGATTTGGAACCCTATAAAAGGAGAGCTATTCTGATGTATGTTGGCAGATTGTTCCTTTCATATTCTTATATTTTAGAATAGTTTTCTCTATGTCTAGCTAGATTTTCTTAATCTGATTCAAGGATTTGAAGTTTGAGTTGTGAATTTAGGGAGGTTCTATTTCAATTAATTTGTTGGATTCATGTACTTCCTATGCTTTTAGAGTTAATTTTACAGGAAGATTAATAATGAATTAAATTGACAACTTACTTTGTTATTGTTTTCCTATTGCTATTTTATGAGTTTATGATCCGTAATTGTCATAAACGATTAGACCGAGTAGCTTGTATTAATTATATTGCTGTGATTAGTACACAAAGGACAGGAAGACTAAGTTGCAGGTTGTAGCTATCTCAATCTGTGATTTAGGCTTAGTTATTTTTCATTAAAGTGTAATGATGTTATTGGGTGAATATGGAACGCTATCGTCCCCAGTTCATTCAATAATAGTAGTTGGTTCGAATGCTTGGTTTGAATCAGTTAATTCAGGGAGATCAAAGGCTAGTATGGCTATCCTAATTAGTCTTTAGCTAAGTACTTGAATCTAACTTTAATTTTTAAGAGCCGATGATCTGAGTCACATCTTTAAAATTCATTTCCCCTTGAATCAGAATTCAACATCTCTGAACTCGTTATTAATTATTGTTTATTTTATTTATTTTATTTATTCTTCTCAAATCCCCCAATTTTCCCTACTTTGAGTCATTTTATTTTAATTAAAGAAACGAAATTCATTAGTTCTCTTGGGATTCGACCTGGTCTTGCCACTACTACAAATTAGTGGAGTGAGCCAGTATTAAATTTGTAGGGCTTCGACAACCCTGCCACAAAGCTCGCTAGAGTATGGTCGAAACTCTAGCATGATTTTCCAACCTTTGATTTGATTCCACTGTATTTCTATGCTAAGAAGTGTACTCCCACAAGCTAATTTTGCTTTGATACTGGGTTTATAATATGCATACGCACATATACATACAAAAAATTAGTCATAATGCATATGTTATCAGGTTCTGGAAATGGATAATACAAACACACATATCCTTATTAGCATGGTTCAAAAATTATCAAACTGGATTATGTTCGCTGCCTCATTGCCACGACTAAGTGGATACTTAGCCAATTAAGAGCATTAACACTAGGACCACTAACACTTTGTGATTCATTAACAGTGGTATTCATATTATCAAGACCAGAAAATCAGAAACAATAGCACTGTCACCAGCAGGAACACTAAGTACTGGTAGTGTGGTTTGAGTAGCTCCATCAAAGGTCCTATGACCAGCCAAATTACCAAAGGTAGGCCGATTAGGAACAATGATTTCATGTGTTCTATGACCAGCCAGATCACTTTGAACCAGCCGATTAGAAACAATTGCAGATGATAAGCTCACCACACCAGTACTTTAAAGTGTGACCAGAAAATAGAAGTACCTTGAAGAGCCCCAATCTCCAACCTTAGCAATGCAGCAGGCCTGCAGCAGCCTTGGGCCAGTCCCCATCAGTCCAAGACTCGTACGACGCATACCTTTGGACCCCTGGTCCGGTGTGCAGCGACGAAGCAGCAAGACGGAGCTATCCCTGGCGACTGTAGCTTCTTTCAGGGGCGAATTCCTCCTTCGAATTTCGACTTCTCTTTTCGGTTGGCGGACGACGGTGGCCCTGCCACCATCCCTGACTTCATCAGATGACTTCGGCGATAGATCGCGATCGCGGTCTAGTTTCGACCTTGGAGGCGCCGACGACTGTTCAGGATGGCCATGGGCATTCTCAGTCCCTCGGAGTTGTCAGTGAGACTCATCGGAGTGCTCGCCCACCACAATTGGGTGGTCGGACTACTTTTGCGATCAATTGCGAACAAACCCTAGGTTCGTCGGAGGAGTCTCCGGTGCTCGTTCAAGACGGCGATGGGGGCTATAGATGGGCAATCGACGGGTGGAGATGATATTTGGGATATGTTGCGATCAAAATACGCCAATCACTGTGATAATCGCCGGCCTGGAGCCTCTGTTGGTTAGAGCGTGTACTGATAATGTGTTAAAAGAATAATTAGAACAGAGAAATAAGAGAGAGAGTGAGAATCATGTCTTCATTCATCTGTACAACTTCCAATACACATACAATACATATATATAATACCAAATAATAATGGCATACATAATGACACATTAATATGTCTGTTACAAACGTTACAAAATAATGGCCATCATTAATATTTATAACAAACTCAAATATTAATACGGGAATTATATGTTAAAATACTACTTGTATATATACTACGAAGTACTACATAATTTAGCAAGGGACTATGTTAAACTATTCATGGGTGAATGTCCACACTCATCTATCAGTTACTCCGTATTAAATAACGATTTCCATGGTTGTCTAGATGTGTACGATTTCATTAATATGTGATCATATCTTTGATTAACAAATCAACAACAGCTACCGCTTGTTAAAATGTTCTGCCTATACTCTCTATTGCGATCGAGAAATGCTAATGTCAATATCTATATATCATATTCAATTTATGTTTGTTGGAGGCTGGTGAAAAGTCAAGTAACGTAGTCTAACATCAAGTATTTAGGGTATAGTTGGACTGGGGCTTGGAAGATTAAGTCCAGGTCACTGCATCTAAAAACTAAATATTGCGGTAAGAAATTTTTACATATTAAAAATTTCAAGTTACTCTTTTGATGAATTTATCATAAAAGCAACTTCAAAAAATTGACATCTTCTTCTATCTCAGAAGTTCTGATTTGATTACCCTTATTGCTTAGTAATTAAGAAAAATTTGTACACTATAATTTAATTATAACCATTTAATTAATCTTCAATATTATCAATAAACTTATTATAATCATGTCACTTTCAACAAAAAAAACGTTAAATTTTTACTACTACTTTTCTCACAAATTTAAATTACTTATTTTTTTTATTATATTGATAATAATCAATTTTATTTAATATTTGAAAGGAAATAGACAATTGGGTGAATGAGATATAAAAATTGGCATCACGTACAATAGAGACAGTACATATCATTTGAAGGCTCCAAAATATTTTACATACACATTTATCCTTGTATTTTAACAAACAAAATACAAACTCTATCACTAAATATGCAAAAAAAAAAAAAAAAAAAAAAAAAAAAAAAAAAAAACTGAAAGTTGGTGCTAAAAGCTAGCTAGTTTAAACCTTACGAAAACTCATACTGAGATTTGTTAAAGAGAGATAACCGATGCCGGAATAGAAACAAAGCGATACGATTAAAATAGGTCTGTAGAAAGAATGTAAAGGTGCTATGGTGGCAGGCTGGCAGCTACCCCCACGTGAATGCAGTTACCGCAGTAAGGACTGCGTACATGACCATAGCCCTGCTGCATGCAAAATATCCCGGGACAGATTTGTAGTTCTTGATAGATGAGGCTTTTGCAACCATCACAATGTATAAAAGTATCGACATAATAGACAAAATGAAAGCAAGAAAATCGAAAATAAGAAACAAGTTAAATGGAGAACTGTGTAACAACAATGGCGTTCCTTGTGTTTTTCCAAGATTGCTGTTGTATCCTCCTGGAACTGTTAAACCAGCTGTAAAGGTCACGGTAAAAATCAATGAAGCTGCAATTATGTTTGTTCGACTTGTTTCTACCATAAAATGAATATCCTTTTCTGTAGGAACATCACTATTCCTCTCTTTCCTACTTTCTGTAAGATCACTTTGACAACCAATTTTTCCACCATTCCTTACAAGTTTCCAACCCTGCCATAATGTTATTCACTAGTTACCACATGTCACAATTCTTTTTAGTACATATATGGCATGATGATAATTTGAATTAAATATATATAGCATGCATAAAATAATGATATAGAAGTAGTAAAGTGTACTTACTAAGAAATACTTAGAAAATGCCCACTTTCTGTTTTGGAAGATCATGGCAAATGGAGTTTGGTGTTGTTTATTAAAGACCAAATGCTTCCACATAAGACCCTGCATAGCAACACGTTTCAAAGGGCCACAACTACAAACCGATAGAAGGGCCAACGGTGTGTTGCCATCCTCGTCTTTCACCTCAATAAGGTTGTCTGCTTGGGGATACTTCAAAACATATTCTATAACATTAAATCTATGTCCCAGTATTGGTTTGTGAAGGAAATTTTGGAATTTGCTATTAACCACCATCCAACAATCTGGGAAGCAAATGTTTGATATCTATTTCATCATTTCAACATTGTCATACCTTGCTGCTGTGTGAAATACCGTGGTCCACATATCATCTTTGCCTACGCGATTGTAAGCTGAACAACTTTTTCTCGCAAGAATCATACGAGCAGCTTCATTATACAGGTTTGTCACACAAGGTGATCTCCTTTTTCAATACTAATTCCGTGCATCTCGAGATGGATATATATTAGTGATACAATTATATGAAAACACTACTTATATTATGTTTGGTCAGGAGGCCACAATTGATGCAGGACAAGAGAAACCAAAAGAACAGGAAGAACTCAAACTTAAAGGCTTTCAATAATAGTCAAAACTAAACTTCTCAATACAAATTAAAAGTCTGTTTAAATAGACAATTAAGAAAATAGATGAGTTGCAAATATTAAAAGCATGCATGGAAAAAGTAAAATAGTCATAAAGAAAATTACAAATATTGAGAATATTTAAAGCTAATTCAAATTTCCAATAAACTAGCCACCAAACCACATGTCTCTTAGAATTCATGTATTTAACCATTATTGATTCAATTCATGTACCGCATCAAACACTGTGCTGCATGTTGCAGCGCTCCACGGCCGCCAACATTTTATGCAAAACATACTACGAGGGAAAGATAACAATCATGCAGCAGCCTTATTGTCTTTGTTATTTGCTCAGAATAAGAAAAATGAAAGTCCGTTACATTGTGCAGTGGAGAAAGGCCATGCCAATATAGTCTCTATCCTCATCAGAGCCACCAAAGAGTACATGGATGTTGAATCTGGTGTGGGACTGAGGGAGATGATACAAATGACAGATAATGTGATGGATATGGCCTTGCACAAGGCCGTGCGAATGGGCATTTGGAAGTCGTGGAGAAGTTATTGGTTGAAGAGGATGATGAATTTGTATATCCTCCCAATAATGTTGGGGAGACACCCATTTACATAGCTGCAAGGTTAGGATTCGTGACTGTTTGCAGCAACTCCTGAACAGATGTAAAAGTCCTACTTACAGTGGACTGTTGGGTCGAAATGCTCTTCATGCAACTGCATCATTAATGTCTTCCACAGGTACACCTATTAAACCTAATTACATATGTGTGTAATGCAAATTAAATTTTTGGACTCTTTTACTTCTTTTAAATACTATTAATTAATTGGTCTTTATGATTAGAAAATTTTGAGTAGATTATAGATAGAAATCATAGATAATTTATATTATGCACTAGGGATCACATAGCATTATGGACCCTAGAGTGAAATGACGAGATACTTTATTTCATATCACAAGATAAAAAAAAAATCACAACAAATATTATATATTTACTTATTTTTCAAATTTGATTTAGGTACATAATTTGTGTTCATATGCACGGAATTTACACACAAAAATTAATAACATAAGACACGATTACTAATTTGTTTCATATACAGAATTCGTACACTTAAAGTACTGAATTTCACAACATAAACACATGCACATACATTGGAAATCATATATATATGCCATTGTTGATGCGGTACATGAATTGAATCAATAATGGTTAAATACATGAATTCTAAGAGACATGCGGTTTGGTGGCTAGTTTTATTGGAAATTTGGATTAGCTTTAAATATTCTTAATATTTGTAATTCTCTTTATGACTATTTTACTTTTCCCATGCATGCTTTTAATATTTGCAACTCTTCTATTTTCTTAATTGTCTATTTAAACAGACTTTTGTATTGAGAAGTTTAGTTTTGACTATTATTGAAAGCCTTTGAGTTTGAGTTCTTCCTGTTCTTTTGGTTTCCCTTGTCCTGCATCAGTTGGTATCAGAGCCAAGTTCCTAGGCGACAACCGAGATAGTGGCGTAGCCCTCTCCACTTGTCACGACGACCCAAGATGGCACAAGGCGGTATCAACAACAAGGGTAATAACCCATCCTTCGGCGGTGACCGTGGAATGGATTGCCTTCCGACAGCTTTTCAAGTACATGGTGAGAATGTGAATCGCGAATTTCAAGAAATTTGTAGCATTCTCACGAACATAAGCCTTCGGTTAGAAGGTAATGGCGCAATGCCATGTGTTATCAATGACATGAATCTGCCAACAAAGCATGTGGCCAGAAGTCGGCAACATCTCCAATACCATCGACTACCAACTTTTAATGGCTATTTGGACACAGAAGCCTTCTTGGATTGGTGTTCAGAAGTTGGATAACTACCTTAGTATGTTAGAAGTTCCTGAAAATAAGCAAGCAAAATATATTGCCAGTATGCTGCGTGGAAGAGCTATGTCATGGTAGGAGACTATTCAGAACTACAGAACAAGACAAGAGGACGTGTTATGGATGAGAGCATGTGAAATTCCAACAAGCTACAATCAACTTCAAGAAGCTCCCAAGCCACAGACTGCCGTCAAGGTTGAAAAACAACTAATAATGTCAGTATCTCCATTATGGACATAAGGTAGAACTTTTAATATGAACTTTCAAGCTGATAATCTGTTGACTGAAGTTATTCCAAATAAACACTCCCTTCCCCCTACAAGAGCACTTGTTGAGGTTAACAACCAACCTACGCATGAAAACAATGCGGCTCACTTTCATCAATTTCAATCTCCACCACTCACACAAGAGGCTGAGACTAAGAAATGTTTGAAGAGAAAAGAACCAGACTACTATACAGATGAAGGTTGGGCTCAAAGATCCTTTGATCTTGAGGATGATAATATCAAGGAGAGAGAATATGATTGCAAAGATGATTTTGAGATTGCTAAGGAAGATGATGGGCATTTGAGTTGTGTGGTTAAAAGTTTAATGTACACAACCGATGAGAAGCAATCCCTCCAACTTAAGAGCATTTTCAAAGAATTCTATCAAATTTATGAGAACACTAAGAAATTAGTGATCATAGATCTGGCTGCTTTTCAGAAACAATCTAGGCATGCTATTAACTTTATCCAGCTGCTGCAAAAGTGTTATGGAAATATAAGATCTGAAAATATAACAAGGGGTGTTGTTGAAGCTCCAGATGAAGCTATGGCTAAACTTATGCTACCAAAGCAAGGTATAACGCCCAGTCTAACAAAAGGCAGCGTAAGAAAATTTGTAGAATGGGTGAGAAGGTTATGGTCTTTATTCATAAAGATCCTGTGTTCACGAAGACATTTCACAAATTGAGTGCTAAGAGGTATGGGTATTTTAAGGTTCGAAAAAAAACAAATGATTGTGAAGACTCATCATGACTTTATACTCCGGTGAAGTACCACTGTATTTTGATGACTCGAGGACGAGTCTTTCGCAACCACAAGAGAATGATGCGGTATATGAATTGAATCAATAATGGTTAAATACATGAATTCTAAGAGACATGTGGTTTGGTGGCTAGTTTTATTGAAAATTTGGATTAGCTTTAAATATTCTTAATATTTGTAATTCTCTTTATGACTATTTTACTTTTCCCATGCATGCTTTTAATATTTGCAACTCTTCTATTTTCCTAATTGTCTATTTAAACAGACTTTTGTATTGAGAAATTTAGTTTTGACAATTATTGAAAGCCTTTGAGTTTTAGTTCTTCCTGTTCTTTTGGTTTCCCTTGTCCTGCATCAGTGTTCCCATTTGGCATAACCTTGAAGCCATCGTCTTCCACCGCGGCCGCGCTTTGCTGCCCTAGAGCCTTATAGTAATCTTCAGGTTTATCCTCCACAGCTGCTTTGTATAAGGCCAGCTTCATTAGATCAATGCCTACAGCCAGTCCCATTTGAGCACGTACTACTGTATGTATTAAATTAACTAAAGATGGTTGATGTTGTAAGAATGTTTGTTGCCTCTAGAAATTAATAATGTACAATGAATTGAAGTGTGTAGACTGAGTGGAGGATGATAGATATATAGATCAAATTCGGAGAGGAGTTGGAAAGTTCTTGGTATTTGCAATGAACCGTCCTAGCTTTATGGGGGTTGAGTGAATGAAGAGTGCCACGCTCCTAGAAACTAATGTAAGAAACAAAATCCTGTGCTGTGTGATCTTTGCCCCTGGATATTTCCATTTAAATTATAAATGTAGTTATATAGTTGATATATGGTGCGGTGCAACAATTATTTCCCCTTAATTATCTCCAAAATAGATAATTTTACTCTAAGTGCTAGACATCCAAATTCCAATATTTTTTTTTTATTATAAGGAATGGGGATACCCAACATATACACACTATTGCCTCAACTGAGGTTCGAACCTACACCTCCCACTTAGGGGAGCAACCCGATACCAGTGGAATATTTTAAAAAGGGAAAATGGCTAGTCCCTGAATTTTACCATAATGTATAATCCAATAATGTAGAATGGTGAGATGTCATAATATTGAATAATGGACACTGGGAATATTTATTCTGATAAATCTGAATGTTAGGGTGGATATATTTTATTATGTTATAATTAAATTATAACTATTTTATATTTTACGCCTCAAACATGGTTTTTGAGTGAATTCCATTTTTGGTTCTACTGTTATAGGGGTCATTTCAATTTTAGTCCACCATAATTATTTTTGTCACATTGTGTCCATTATTATTAAAAGTGTTTCAATTTTAGTCCACAAAAATTTTTAAAGTGAGCTAAAATTAGAACACTTTTAATAATAGTGAGCACAATATGACAAAAATAATTATGATAGACAAAAATTAGAAAAGTCATATAACAGTAGGACCAAAAATGGAATTCAATCTTTTTTTTTTTTCAAAAATTAAGCATTAAAGTAAATGAATAGTTTACAACTTCAAATAAATAAAAATTATATAAAATATAATAAGACACATACATTTGGTCTTGTGATCTGATTTGTATGATTGGCGACCGTGTGTGGAAAGACATTGTTCTTGAGATCAGAGAAAGAGAAATTTTAAAAACTTGAAAAAATGATTACAGAGAGAAATTTAAAAAACATTTTCAAGAAACTGAATATATGCAATCTTAAGCAAATTTTTACATTTGTCGTTTTAAATATGAAAAGTACTAAATGCCTAATAGAAGGTCCTATTAGTTAATTATCTCCGATATTCCTGCTCACTTACGATCTCTACAATGGCGGCGCCGTTGGGGGCCGCCGTGCCCCCTCCCATACCACCGCGCTCTTTCACGGACGTACTCTCTTCTGGCTCAGATGAAGCGCATGTCCGACCTCTGGGTAGATACAAGGGCATGCCAGCGGTCTCATTCTCAGATGAAGATATTCACCAATTTGCTCTTCGCTTCAAGTTTGCGCTAATTGGCAAGTTTACGAAAGGTCGCCCTTCGATGGCATCATTCCGAAAGTCGTTTGATCTTATTGGTTTCGGTGGAGCGTTTACTCTGGGCCTGATTGACCGACGCCATGTTCTGATTAATTTCGACAAAGAAGAAGATTTTCAACGTTGTTGGCTACGTAAATCGTGGGCGATACAAGGATTCAATATGAAGGTTTTTAAATGGACCCCGGACTTCCGACCAGATGTGGAGTCTCCAATAGTTCAAGTTTGGATTGCTTTAGAGGGGCTACCAGCACACCTACAAGATAAACGTGCAATCTGCTCAATCGCGAACCTCGTTGGATCACCACTAAAGGTTGACGCCTCGACACTTGCCCACAACCGGCCCTCGGTTGCCAAAGTTTGCGTAGAGTTGAATGTGCTTAATCCCATTCCTGAGCATATTTGGATAAACAATGGTTCGTATGGGGGATTTGCTCAGCCCGTGAAATATGAGTATATTCCTCCTTATTGTCAGACCTGTCGAAAATTTGGTCATTTACTCGCTGAATGCAGAGTTGGCCAGACTCCTCCATTGGTTCAAAAGCAGCGCCAAGATGGTGATTTTGCCATTCCCAATCAGCCGAAGGCACATGTTAATCAAAACTCTCAGTTGCAAGCAATCACCACCATTGTTCCGCCGCGGAAATGTTGGCGACCTCTCGCAGTCCAGCCTCAAGAGGAGTCGCAAAATCGGCAGCAGCAGGAACTAGAAACCGGGAGTACTATGGGTCAAGAGCAGTTGGGCTACCCGACAGTGTCGCATCTGGCCTTTGCGGATGATATTATAATATTTGTTAATGGAGGTGTGAATTCTTTGAGAAATCTGTCCAAAGTTTTGAGAATCTATCAGCAGGCTTCAGGGCAGAGAATTAATTTTGATAAAAGTTTTTTTGTCACCTCTAAACATTGTAATTTGCGCCGCATTACTGCTATGGAAGGGGTCCTGGGTATGAAACACTCTTCATTGCCTTTTCGATATTTGGGAGTGAATCTTTTTCAAGGCCGCAACAGGTTAATTTTTTATCAGTATACTTTGGAGAATGTGGATAAGAAGCTCCAAGGTTGGCAGCGCAAACTTTTGTCACCAGGAGGTCGTTTGATTCTTATTAAGCACGTTTTGACATCTATCCCTCTTTATACAATTGCAGCCGTCCAATTACCTCGCCAAGTAATTAAAGAACTTGAGCGAAAGTTTGCTAGAATTTTTTGGGAACTTATGAGGGTAAGCCTAAGTTTCATTGGGCTTCTTGGAATAATATTTGTTTGCCTACGGATGAAGGGGGGTTGGGAATTCGGAATATGGTTGCTGTTCGGCAGGCTTGTTCGGCGAAGCTCTGGTTTAACTTTAGGTGCAAAGGTTCTTTATAGGCTGAGTTCATGACAGTGCGTTATTCTGAGAGCTCTAACCAGGCTACTGGGTCTCATATATGGCGCCGTATGTTGCAAATTTCTGAGTTCGTCGATGATTATATTCGTGAGGTTGGCAATGAAACTATTTGGACCCCGTCTACAATGGGAGATTTTACGTTGGCATCGGCATATGATATGCTTAGACCAAGGATGGGTTCAACACTCTCTTCAAAATGTATTTGGGCGCCGGGTATCACTGCGAAGTGCTCAATATTTATGTGGAAGCTCCTCCGGAGGTACTTGCCGTTCCCAGATTGCCTAGAGAGGTTTGAGATTTGTCTACCTTCTATTTGTCCTTTTTGTTTCAATGCGAGTGCATCTTTGGAGCATTGTCTTTTTTCATGTACTCATGTTTTTGGCGTGTGGCATAGATTTGCTCTAATCTTTGGATTTTCCCTCGATAATGTTCGGTCGGTAAGAGCTGCATGTCATAAATGGTGGTTATCAGCTTCGCCAAGGACTGCTACGGGTTTTTTTTGCTACCTCATCCCTTGTCTTATTCTTTGGGTGGTGTGGACTTTCTATAATCCTGCTCTGTATGATGGTATTCCATTCTCCTCTATTGCTGCTATTTCCAAGATTAAAAAAGAGGCTTTATTGGTATCTTTGGTACATCATGTTCGTAGAAGTGGTTTATCGGATCAATTCTTGGTTGCTGAGGGGATTGTTGCTACATTTGCCTCCCCTCCGAGGCGCATGGTGACTTGGGTTAAGTGGCATAAACCACCTTCAGGGCGTCTCAAGTTAAACACTGATGCATTATTTTCTACAAATGGAGCGGCAGGAGGGGCATGTTTGAGGAATTTGGCATGCTTTCTCATTGCGGGATTATCTTTTCCATTGCTTGCCTCCTCGGCACTTGAGGCGGAGGTATTGGCATTAGATTTTTCCTTGTGTTGGTGTGATATGGCATCTATGATACCGGAACATGTTGAAGTTGATTCTCTTGCACTAGTTTGTTATGTTACCTCGTATACAATATTGACCCCATGGAGAGTTCGTGGTGCACTTAGTCGGATCCATTCGCGGTTGGTTTCTTGGTCATCTTCAATTGTTCATGTTTACCGTGAAGCTAACCGTGTTGCGGATGCTTTAGCTTTAGAGGGTTTTCTTTGCTCATCGGCTTCTGTGTTTTCTTCATTTGGCTTGTTACCAGAATCTGTCAAATTGGCCCTTTTGTATGATTTCAGGGGCTTTGCTGCTCCGAGATTTATTCGCTCATAATAAATCTACTTTGCTTAAAAAAAAAGTACTTTTCAGAAAATTAAAGCTGAACGAAGTCCAGAATGGCAGCTAGCATGACGGCAACCGATTTCATAGTTCTCCTTCTTTTTTTTTTTTTTTTTTTTTTTTTTTTTTTTTTGCAAAGATTTCGTACGTTTTGCAAGGCTCCATTATCATGAACAATTTACTTGACTTTGTCAACGACATGTATCCCCCCAATAATGCTCTCTGTCTCTTCCCCGTAATTGAGAAAAATGAATATATATATATATATATATATATATATATATATATATATATATATATATATATATATATATATGTTAGGAATATAGCGGAATAATTCGGAAGCGAAGAATCGAAAATTGAGAATTATAGAAGTTAAATAATAATAAAATGACAAAATAAATTAATAAGGATAGGAAAGTTCGCAAAAGGCCAGCCCTCGATGGCGGATCTTCGAAAAACTTTCGATCAAATTGGCTTTGGTGGTGCTTTTTCGCTTGGCCTGATTGATCAACGCCATGTGCTCCTAAACTTTGATCATGAAATGGATTTTCAACGGTGCTAGCTTCGAAAGTCCTGGTCGATCAGGGGCTACATCATGTGGATTTTCAAATGGACTCTAGATTTTCGGCTAGATATGGAATCCCCAATCGTTCCTGTTTGGATCGCCTTTGAAGGTCTCCCGCCTCATTTGCAAGACAAGAGGGCAATTTATTCAATTGCCAACTTAATTGGAAAACCTTTGAAGGTCGACGCATCCACTCTTGCTCATAATCGCCCTTCCGTGGTGCGCGTCTGCGTAGAGCTCAATGTCTGCAACACCCCCCCCCCCCCCCCGAAGCAAGTTTGGATCACTAATGGCTCATAAGGGGGATTCGCACAACAAGTCAGCTATGAATACATCCCTCCCTACTGCCTGGGGTGTCGCAAATTTGGCCACTCTCAGGTGGACTGCCGGAACATGCAGATGACGCTGCAACCTGAACCCCGCCGGGAGACTGCAACAGAGACGCCTCCAGCTGACCAGCAGCCTCTACTGGTTCCTCCAAGGAAGAGATGGTGGCCTGTTCAAAGTCCGGCCGAAGAAGAGCATGGGGACGGCTCAGCCCCTCAGAGTACCGCCCCGGTTCTTGATACGGAGAGCGCGGCTTCGCCATTGGCAATCCCGGAGGCTAATTCCTCTCTGGGGAGGGAGCTTATTGATGATCAAGGAGTCCGTGCAATGGCTCATTCGAACTCTCTGCCGGGACATCTATCAGACGGAGATGATATACAGAATGCCCAGGCTTTCTCGCAGTCTTTGCTTGACTCTTGGAAAGCGGATAGCAGACTGTTCGCAGCCAAGATTGGGAAATCGCAACCTGACAATTGTGTTGTTGTAACTAAGAAGAAGATCCGTCCCAGGAAGGACTACTCTGCGCTTGCTCCATCTGTCACCACCAGGCTAGCAGCGGGCAAGATCGCTAGAGTTTCTTTCTCGCACCGGTTAAAATGAATTTGCTAAGCTGGAATGTCCGGGGTCTTCTTTCCTCACGGCGCAGGCTTAGAAGGATAATCCGACGTGAGCACATTAACTTTGTTTCGATTATTGAACCGTGGCTTGATGCTGATCAGTTAGACAGGTTTGTTCGAGAATTCCACTACTCGGGTGGTTTTGCGTCCAGTGAAACCAAAATCTGGTTGCTTTGGTCAGACTCTTTTGACATCGAGGTTGTGTTAGACAGTGATCAGTTTGTTCTCTGCAAAGCTTGCTACATCTCGTGGGGTTTCTCCTTTGATTTCATTGCAATTTATGCGAAGCATACCAGAACAGAAAGAGCTCTTTTGTGGTCGCAGCTCGCAGCTTGCCTTACGGATTCTTGGCCAGTTCTCCTGGGAGGAGACTACAATGTGATCTCACGCATTTCTGAATATAGAGGAACCGCTATACCGGCTGTGGGGTGTATTTCCGACTTCTCGGACTTTATTGCTGACAATGAGCTACTTGATCTTGCCACTCTCGGCAGTCAATACACTTGGCATGGTGTTCGAACGGCTGGGGCAGTTTGGAAGAGGCTTGACCGCTATTTGATGAATGCTAATTTCAGAGATTATTTCACGGAGGTGCGAATAACTGTTATGGCCAGGACAACTTCGGATTATTCGCCAATCCTGTTGAGTGGTGCCAACACAATGGTGTCTTGCCTAAAACAGTTCCGATTCCAGAATATGTGGATCACTCACCCGAGTTTCATGGATACTGTCAGCCTAAATTGGAATCAACCAGCTGAAGGATGGGGAATGCGTGCTCTCGCCTTCAAATTAAAAAGACTCAAACAGGGCCTCCGTTCTTGGAACCGAGACATTTTTGGGAATGTTTTTTACCGCATCAGGGATTTGGAGATCAAAACTACAGAGGCTGAAAATGCTTTTGATGAAGAGCCTTTGCCCGTCAACCGTGAGTTGCTCCACAAGCTGCGAGCGGATCTCCTTCAGGCACTTAAACATGAGGAACTCTACTGGAAACAAAAGGCCCTGGTGAAATGGCTTAAAGATGGGGACTCTAACTCCCGTTACTTTCATTCTGTGGTTAAGAATATGCACCGAAGGTAGCGCATCAGTGCTATCAAGAATGGCACAGGCGAGCTCCTTTTGACTCAATCTGCTATACAGGAAGAAACTGTCTCTTTCTACTCTGGGCTTTTCTCGGCAGAGGACAGCTCCGGATTGGAGCCCCTTTTACAGTACCTCCCAACGAATCTGATCGGTGCAGACATCGCTCTTCTAACCCTACCGGTCTCACGTGAGGATCGGAGGTTAAAGAAGCGGTGTGGAAGTTGGATCCATACAGCGCAGCTGGCCCTGATGGTTTCTCGGGTTTTTTCTTACGTAGCTGCTGGGACCTTGTAAAAGAAGATGTTTTCGCGGCGGCCCTGGATTTTTTCTCTGGAGTGCCTTTACCACGCGCAATGGCAAGCGCCCAGATTGTTCTTCTCCCCAAAAAGGATAACCCGGGAACCTTCGCGGATTTTCGGCCAATTTGCCTCTGTACCTTTGTCAGCAAAATCTTCACACGTATTATCACCTCTCGGCTTAGTTCTATTCTGCCCAAAATTATATCAAAGGAGCAAGCGGGGTTTGTTGAGGATCGGAGCATCCAGGACAATGTGTTGTTGGCTTTTGAGCTCCTTCAACACATTAACAAACGCTGTCGGGGCGCGAATGTTGCGGTGAAGCTTGATATGATGAAGGCCTTTGATCGGGTCTCTTGGCCCTTTCTACGGGCTGTTCTGGGCAGATTTGGGTTCCCTGCGGCTTTCATCAACCCTGTCTTGGGCAATCTGGAGGCCACGCGCTTATCGGTCTTGGTTAACGGGGTTAGCTGCGGCTTCTTTCAACCAACGTGGGGGGTTAAGCAAGGCGACCCGCTCTCCCCCTCCTCTTCATTCTTGTTTCGGAGGCCCTTTCACGCTCTCTTGTGTTGAAAATGGGCACGGGATTACTATCTCCGTATTCTACGAGGCTGGGATGCCCCATTATTTCTCAATTGGCATTTGCAGACGATATTATTATTTTTGTTAATGGATCTTCAAGCTCTCTGAAGGCTCTCTCAGATATTCTAAAGCATTATCAGACCGGGTCTGGGCAGAAAATCAATTACAGCAAAAGTTTCTTCGTCACTTCTAAGCACTACTCTACGGAAAGGTTATCCACAATGTCGCGTATTCTTTCTATGCAACACTCGTCTTTGCCTTTCCGATACCTGGGGGTGAACATGTTCGCGGGGAGGAATAGAACACATTACTATTATCACCTACTGGAAAAAAGTAGACAACATGCTTCTTGCCTGGCAACGAAAGTTGCTATCTCTGGGAGGAAGATTACCTCTAATTAAGCATGCCTTGGCTATGGTCCCACTATATACAATGGCCTCCGTGCCTCTTCCTAAGCAGATCGAGAGATCAATTTATTCAAAATTTGCTAAATTTTTTTGGGGAACCATTGATGGTAGGCCGAAACGGCACTGGATGGCGTGGAAGAGGGTTTGTCTGCCGACTGACGAGGGCGGCCTGGGTGTCCGTGATCTTGCAGCCATCCAAGAGGCTTTTTCAGCAAAGCTCTACTTCAATTATCTAAGAGGGGGATCCTTGTGGAGTTCCTTTATGTTTGAGCGCTACGGTGGTGGCTCTTCAGTTTCTGCCTCACTAGCTTGGAGAAGAATGCAGCTTGTGAGAGACCTGGTGGAGGACAATACTATTACGGAAACTATGGTGTGGGTGCCGTCGGTGTATGGGAATTTCTCCTTCTCCATGGCGTATGATCTAATCCGACCAAAGGCGGGACGGAGCTTGTCATCAGTTGCTATCTGGGGACCTCTAATCCCCACGAAGATTTCAGTCTTTATGTGGCGTTTATTGCGAAGATTACTTCCTTTCCCGGATGTCATCCAATGCTTTGGATTTTGTTTTCCTTCGATCTGCCCTATCTGCCTGGCTGCAAGCTCGAGTCTGAAACATTGCCTATTCCATTGCAGCGGCGCCCAGGTCGTATGGAGGCACTTTAGCGGCGTTTTTGGCTTAGGCCAGCGCAACCTGAACTCAGTGCGTGCGGCGTGCCAAGCTTGGTGGATCATGGATACATCAGCGATGGGAAGCTTCGCATGTCTTCTCTTGTGCCTTATTTTGTGGTTTATGTGGGTTTCTTATAATGAGAGCCTTTATGATGGAAAACCTTTCTTTGCTATAAGGACTATTAAGCGAATCAAAAGTGAAGCATTTCTGCTCTCCCTCGCAAAACAGCCGCGTTGTAGTGGGGCTGCTGGTTCGCTTCTGGTGGATGAAGGGCTGGTCGCCCGCGTCTACTCCCCTCCACGACGAACAACGATATGGGTGAAATGGTTGGCCCCGCCGTCGAGCAGATTAAAGTTGAACATCGACGCCTCTTTCTCTTTAAATGGTGTTGCCGGTGATGCGTGCCTAAGAGACTCAAGATGCCACCTTGTGGTGGGTTAGTGCCTCGACGCGTCCTCAGCACTTGAAGCGGAGGCTCTTGCTTTGCATAAAGCCATCCTTTGGTGTGAGGCCACTGCGACGCGGCCTCTTTTGATCGAAGTTGACTCTCTAACTCTCGCCAATTGTGTGTCCACGCCGGGAGGGTTGATCCCATGGAGGATACGCCATCCCGTTTTACACGTCCGAGCTTGCCTTTTAGAATGGGGCTCTACTATTCGTCATGTCTTTCGGGAGGCGAACCAGGTGGCCGATGCGCTAGCAGAGGAAGCTCTCAATTTTGGTTCCCCCAAAGTTTTCAATCATTTTGTTCTTTTGCCTGCTAAGGCTAAATTAGCTATGATGTATGATCTGGGAGGCTTTGCCTCTCTTCGGGTTGTTCGCTAATAATAAAGTTCCGTTGTTTAAAAAAAAATTAATAAGGATGGGAAAATAATTCTCAAATAAAATGTTCTGATACCACTTATTAGGAATATAGCGGAATAATGAGGCAGTGCGCATTGAAAAAAAGGAAACGTGGTTGTACATTGAGGAGGAAGACATGCACAACGTGGGTTTTGAGGATGACACAGTCTCCGTGATTTGAGCCACAGTTATTTTCCTAACAATATATATACATATATATATATATATACATATATATATACACACACACATATATATATATATATATATATATATATATATATATATACACACATATATATATATATATACACACACACACACACACACATATATATATATATATATATATATATATATATATACATATATAGGCTTCGAATCCAGTGCAACCCCTATATTAGATGAGACCATGAGGCCTCTTGATATCCATTGATTCATTTTCCATGAATGGTTGAGATTATTACAGATTGTGGTAGTAATTAAGGATATTTTCCAATCAAAAGGATTGAATAGTAATTGTAGTTCTATGTTTATTTATGGATATAATAGAATTGGAATCTTAAGCATTATTTTAGGGAATTTATGAATGGAAATTAATACTTTAAATTATTTACAAACGCTGATGAACTGAACATGGCGTGAACAAGGGTAGGGGTGAAAAAAAACGGGTGGGAGTGCAGAAACAACGACGGAGCACACTTTAGAAATGGCTAGTAGCAGCACAGGTATGTGCATTTTTGTGTGCTCGTGTGTGCATATGCTGAAGATTGGGGTTTTTTCCCCGGCGGGGTGGGGGGTGAGGGGTATTTGGACGAACTAGAAGTTATGTGATGTGCATAGCGTTTGCGTGTTCAGTTGGGTGTGTAAGCACATAATCCATGTGACAATTAATAGATACGTGGCTATTAAAACAGAGTTTAGATTACCAACCTCCAGCCATAGCTTTAGATCTTGATCACCAGGGACTCGTGGTCTGATGAGCAGAAGTTCCTCGGGCTGCTGTAAAAATCTCCGTAGGTTTCAATTGTGTTTCTCTCAATTCTCTCAGTGACTTTAGATGGTGTATGATACGTCAACCGAGCAGTGAGAGGACTTGGGAGTCTAAATAACCTACATCCCATCAATGTAGGTAACTAATTACCTAATGCTGACTAAGTTCTAATACATAGTCAGCCTATTGATTTGCACCACTTAAATATTATTGTTATTATATAATAAACTTAATAATAATAATAATGATAATACATAAGGAAAACGTTACATTCTCCCACTTGGTGCAAATACGGAACCCAAGAACAAGATTTACACCAACCATAATGACATGTCCTTCTTAGCGCAAGTAATATCCATTATGATCAAACGCAAACTGTCAATGAGTCCTTTAGGTAATCAAACTTAATGAAACAAACCATATGTTCATTTCAAGTCCACTGAAGTATATTTTCTTATTGAGATAAACTGAATTGTGTACACACTCAAAGAAAATATCTGAAGTATCTGAAGAAAAAAAACTTAAGTGCAAAAGAATTTCATTATTAAACTGAATGTATATACAAATTACAAAGTGGACGAAAGTCCCATTTTCTGAATCAGATCCTTGAATTTAGACGGAGGCATGCCTTTAGTCAAGGGATCTGCTAGCATCAACTCAGTATTAATGTGTTCAATGAATACAACTTTATTCTTGACACGCTCCCTAATGGCTAAGAACTTGATGTCGATGTGTTTACTTCGACTCCCAGATTTTTCGTTCTTAGTTAGGAAGACTGCAGCTAAGTTGTCACAATAAACTTTCAGTGGCTTAGATATAGAATTCATAATTCTAAGCCCGGAGATGAAATTCTTGAGCCACACACCTTGCGAAGTAGCCTCAAAACAGGACACGAACTCGGCTTCCATGGTAGAAGTGGTTATTAAGGATTGTTTAACACTTCTCCATGAAATTGCCCCACCAGCCAATATGAAGACGTACCCGGAAGTCGATCTCCGAGAATCAACACAGCCAGCGAAGTCCGCATCAGAATAACCAACAACATCGAGGATGTCCGTCTGCCTAAAACCCAACTTGAAATCTTTAGTACCTTGGAGATACCTCAGAACTCTCTTCACAGCTCCCCAGTGGTCTAAGCCTGGATTATGCAAGTACCGCCCTAACATACCAACGGCAAAGGCAATGTCGGGCCTTGTACAAACTTGAATATAGCCGAGACATCCAACCGCTTCAGCATATGGAACATCCTTCATACGCTTTGTCTCCAACTCGTTCTTAGGACATTGGTCCAAACTAAACTTATCCCCTTTTGCAATGGGAGCAACATTCGGTGAACAGTTTTTCATCCGAAACCTTTCCAAAACTTTGTTAGTATAGGTTTCCTGCGATAGACCCAGTATGCCCCGGGACCTATCCCTATGAATCTTTATGCCAATGACATAAGATGCTTCACCCATATCTTTCATATCAAAGTTTTTGGAAAGGAACTGTTTCACGTCACGAAGCATCCCCACCTCATTAGTAGCGAGTAGGATATCATCCACATATAAAACAAGGTAACAGATTTTACTCCCACTAACTTTCTGGTATATACAAGGATCTAAGGGACTTTCAACAAAACCAAATGATGAAATGACCCCGTCAAACTTAATATACCACTGACGGGAGGCTTGTTTTAAACCGTATATGGACTTCCTAAGCCTACACACCAAATCCTCACCACCTCTAGAAGAGAAACCTTCAGGTTGTTTCATATAAACTTCCTCTTCTAGATCACCATTTAGAAACGCGGTTTTCACATCCATTTGTTGCAACTCAAGATTAAAGTGTGCAACCAAAGCCAGAATGATTCGAAGAGAATCTTTCTTTGATACAGGAGAAAAGGTCTCCTTGTAATCAATTCCTTCTTTTTGAGTGAATCCCTTAGCAACGAGTCTGGCCTTGTACCTCTCAATGTTACCTAATGAGTCTCTTTTGGTTTTAAATACCCATTTACAGCCAATCGGCTTGGCCCCATTAGGTAACTCAACAAGGTTCCAAACTCCATTACTCTTCATGGAATTCATTTCATCTTTCATGGATTCTAACCACAAATCGGACTGTGCACAATTCGTAGCTTGTGAAAACGTTATGGGATCATTTTCAGCTCCAATGTCAGATTCTTGTAGATACGATACATAATAGCTAGGAACTGCTGAAAGCTTTACCCGAGTAGACCGTCTTAATGTTGGAACACCAGTACCTTGTGAAGGTTGTGGCGCAACTACCTCTTCAGGAACTGGATGTAGTTCTTGGATTGGTTCAATTTCGGTCTGTGCGGGTTCAGGATCTTGCTGAAAATCCTGAATTGGTTCAACCATTGGCTCAAAGTCTAGCTCAGGAGGTTGCTGTAAGTCCTGAACTTGTTCTTCCAATGGTTGAGTTTCAACAGCTTGTGGAATCTCAACAATGGGTTGCACAACCGCAGGCGGGACTGAAGGCGCATTG